CTTCAAATCCATTCTCTAAGCCCTTATAGTGCCTCACATTCTGTTTAAAAATTCATATTTTTCAGTACAAAGTGATTGACAGATCTCTCAAAAGTTATTGAATGTTATTTTTATCATATTCTGTGAATCCTATGATAAAAATGATAAACAAATCACAAGAGTTTTTGGGGAAAAAAATATTTTATTCATAACTATTTATTATTATTTGAAATTTACTCGTTCTTAACAAAAATATGTTTTCTTTATTATTGACTTTTCATAATTTTTAATTCAATCGTATATTTTAGTTAATATTTAAATCAATTGATTGTTTAAACCAATTATTAAAATTGCAAATCAAATATAGGTTTTTATTATTAGACATTAGAGTGAATAATTATTATTAAAACTTGATGCTTGACTTAACACGTGTTTTAATGTCTGAATTGAATGATGTGTTATAAATAATTATTGGTGACCAGGGTTATATTATTGGCGAACAAACTTATATTACTATAAATGAATTAATTATTAAATATAAAAGCGGATTTCTAACGGAAGTGAAAAGTAAACAAAAAGTGTGACCGCTATTGATATCACAATCATAAGACAGATCATAAGAATCCTCTTCTCATACTTGGTTTGATGAATATTTGCAATATTTGCCAAATTATCATTCAGTGTACTCTCACTTTGATTCTTGTAATTGATTCCACAAAACCATTGGAAAAAGTTTCTGATCAAAGATTCTTTGACTTTCTTTTCGACAAAATCCGCGTTTCCAGTGATTAATGTTCCGTTGCTTTGACTGTTGCTTTCATTATTGATGTGTTGGCATTCAATTTGATCCACATTCTCGGTCTCATCGGTTCGCTCTCTTTCATCAAATCTTGTCCAATAAGTGGTGCGAATGAGCTTTAAATCAATATAATGTTGTTATAAATTTGTTAATAAAAAATCAATGATTGACTGCAACACATACCCGGAATTCTTCGGTTTTCTGAGTCAATAAACTGATTATAACGGCAGAGAAAATACTTAACCAAAAGATAATTATTGCGAAATACATGTAATGAAGTTTAAGGATATTTGGCCGCAAATCCTGTTCACCACAAATGGGCTCTCGATATATGATATTTATGATCAATCGGACGACTCCCGCAACTAATCCAATAATGAGTGCCCAAAAGGCGCCCTTTTCGTTGACTCTCTTCCACGCGATGGCCAGTATATAAATGGCGGCAATCGGTGGCGAGAGGTTGGCCGCGATGTCCTGAATGTATATATAAAGCTCTCCGTTTTGCATCTCTTGTATTATTGGGATCCAAAGAATA